ACTTGAAAGAGAGAGCCTATGTAAAATGTTCAGCAGCCATGGCCATAGGCCAGGGAAATAGAATGTATCCACTTCTATCTAAAACGTGCCTGAATTAGAAAAAGAAGTAAAAGCTCTTAAATTTTGGACACTTCATCTTCTGTGGGTCTGTGGGTCGAATGTTAGTGTCTGGGGGAAGCTATTCAAAGTATGGAAGCTCTGTGAGGCCAGAGACTCTCATTCATGACTATCTCCAAGGTTTACACAGTGCCTGGCCCATAGGATGACTCAACAGATGTTCTATGGACGGATGCATGGACGATAGGCCAAAACACTAGAGAGTTGTACTTCAGTTACAAAGACCACCACCACTGGAGCACTGATTTCCTGTGTCCCTCTCTCAGTGAATGGCACCTGCCATCTCTCACACTAAGACGAAAACTTGGGTGTTTCTGTGATGACTCTTTCTCATTCGCTCCTCACACCCAATCAGCTTTGTCAATTCCACCTTCTAATTTTTCTCTTGGAAAGCATTCTCTTCTCCATTACTCTACTGTCACTACCTTCGTTCAGGCCCTTCCCAATTTGTTCTGAATTTCTACATCACCTCCACACCACTCTCTAGGGCTCCAATCTGTACCCACCCCCTCCAAGCCACTTTCCACACTTGGAACAGAGTGACTTTTTTTTAATTTTTTAGTTTTTTTATAAACATATAATGCATTATTAGCCCCAGGGGCACAGATCTGTGAATCTCCAGGTTTACACACTTCACAGCACTCACCATAGCACATACCCTCCCCAATGTCTATAACCCAACCACCCTCTCCCTACCCCCCTACCCCCGGCCCCCCTCAGTTTGTTTTGTGACATTAAGAGTCTCTTATGGTTTGTCTTCTGCTGGATCCCATCTTGTTTCATTTATTCTTTTCCTACCCCACAAACCCTCCATGTTGCATCTCCACTTCCTCATATCAGGGTGATCATATGATAATTGTCTTTCTCCGATTGACTTATTTCGCTAAGCATAATATCCTCTAGTTCCATCCACATCGTCGCAAATGGCAAGATTTCATTTCTTTTGATGGCTGCATAGTATTCCATTGTATATATATACCACATCTTCTTTATCCATTCATCTGTTGATGGACATCTAGGTTCTTTCCATAGTTTGGCTATTGTGGACATTGCTGCTATAAACATTTGGGTGAATGTGCCCCCTTCGGATCACTATGTTTGTATCTTTAGGGTAAATACCCAGTAGTGTGATTGCTGGGTCATAGGGTAGCTCTATTTTCAACTTTTTGAGGAACCTCCATGCTGTTTTCCAGAGTGGCTGCACCAGCTTGCATTCCCACCAACAGTGTGGGAGGGTTCCCCTTTCTCTGCATCCTCGCCAGCATCTGTCATTTCCTGACTTATCAATCTTAGCCATTCTGACTGGTGTGAGGTGATATCTCACTGTGGCATTGATTTGTATTTCCCTGATGCCAAGTGATGTGGAGCACTTTTTCATGTGTCTGTTGGCCATCTGGATGTCTTCTTTGCAGAAATGTCTGGAACAGAGTGATTTTTAAAAAGCACAAATCTGATGAGATTATTACTGCCCCCCCTCACCCATTCCCCCCCAGCAGCCTCACATAAGGATGGTCCACGACACACTATAGACTTAAAGATAAAGCCCAAACACCTAAGTGTAACATCCCCATCCTTTACAGATGTGCTCCTGCCTGTCTTTCCAGCCTTACCTGGCCAATCAGCAGCCCACTCACCTTGAGTTTAGGTCACCTGCAGCAAGTTTATGCTCTTTCTTGCCCTGTGCCATTGCCTAGGCTTCTTCCTCTGCCTGGAATGCTCCCCTTTCTTTGTTCCCTTCCACAATCTTCAGAACTCAACCTTGGCATCGCTCCCCCCCCGCCCCCCGGTTGCTTTCCCTGATTGTCTCTGGCTTCCCTAAGAACTGGATGTCCCTTCTCCTAGGTACTCCCAAGGCTTAAAGCTTTGTTCGTAACTCTGTGATCTTTTTCCTTGTCTGTCCTTCCCAGGTGCCTGGCTCATGTAGCGCCATGTTTTGGTCTTCAGTATACCTAGTATACCCCCATCTAGTTCCAACACAAAGTTTCTGGAACTGATAAATGCTGTCTCACACCAAACATGCACTTTTACAGAAGCATATTCCTAATCAACATCATGTCTTTGGACAATTGTGTGACCAGTCAAGATAATTAACCAAGGATTAGGGTGTGGTTCATGATCTGGAAAAACCTATTAGAATAAACATGTGGAGAACATATGTTTCTGACCACAAGTCAAGACACATGATCCAACAAATAAGATCACATTTTTTCCTGCCCTAGAAAAATGCGCACGTATGTCCACAGCCACCCAGCCCGATCTGTCAATTTTGCCCTACTATGTTATCCAAATATGTCAACCCGAACGTTGAAATAATAGCCAATACGTACGTAGCTAATGTTCTTGGTGAGCTCACCTTGCAGCCAGGATTATGGGAAGTGCTTGGCAATCGCCTCATTTAATCTTCTCACTTCCCCTTTGAAGCACATTTTTTTTTATCAATTCCATTTTACAGGTGAGAAAACTAAGGCTTAAAGCTTGTCAGAGATTACAGAGCAGCCCCGGGCATCTTACCAGCCATAGACAAGGAATCTGATCCGCTCAGTCTTTCTGCTACACTGACCTGACCATGACCTCTTAACCTTATTAGATTATCAGAAGAGCCACATCTGGGGCAAAAATAGCTGGTGGCTTCCGGAAATTTTTATTAAAACTCTAAATCTCCTGGCAATAACTTTCAAAAGTCATGATTCAGACCAGAAGTGATATTTGAAAATGGAATCACAACGCAGGTCTCTTGGCTACAGAGATGCTCTTGCTGCTGGAGAGGAATGCTCAACCTTGACATTTATGACAGTCTGTGTTATTCTTGTCCTTGGGTCTTTTGCCATTACGGTCTATGGAGAGGCGTTGACCCTCATTTTATCCTCCTTGAGGAATCCTGTCAGGTTTAATCAGTCCATTCTCTTCCTTGGCCATCACTTCATTGGTAGCTAGAGGAATGCTTCTTCAATTCGTGACCACTGACCACCTTCATAATGATCCCTGGGGCGCTCTTGCCTCTTGCCCATCCCACAGTTATCACAGGGACTCTCTATAGCTCGAAGCCCAGGAAACGGCATGTTAATCACATTCTCCAGGCAATTCTTAGGAATACTAATGTTTCAGAACTACCCATCTGTCTCTGCATCCTCACAGCACCAGGTGTGATCCCTCGACCGACATCAGCAGCTTGTTAGGAAACACAGAATTCTCTGGCCCCAGCCCTGAATGACTAAATCAGAACCTACATCTTAATGAAGTCCCCAGGTGATCTGTATTCACACTGCTGTGCCTACAGAGAGCCAGTGATCTAGAACAGTGTTTCCTAAGATTTTTCACTTCATGGCAGGCATAGAAAACAAAAGCACTTGTTTGGCAAACCGATGAGAACGCCCACTGTGACGGCAGGGCTCAGTCGGCCCCAGACGCCAGCCTGGCCACCCGAAGACCGAGGGGATCCATAGTCCAGGCGGGCCTGATTGCAGCACACTAGTTGAGAAGCCCTGGTCTGGTTACAAGTATACCCATTTCGGCCTTCTTCATTAGGCAGAACTCCCTACATCCTGCCTATCCTTATTTCCCTCAAAATTTATTATTTCTTTTCATACATACATAGAATCAGAAAAGCTACTTCCCAGTCAACTAGATCTTAGAAATCATATGCAACGAACACAGTCTCATCTTTTATGTTCTCTTTGAGAAATGCAGAGATAAATGATGTCTTTTATTCTGAAGACTGTCTCCTGTGGCCCAAGGAATACTAGGAAAAAATAAGAGCCTTCTTCCCTCCAAAGAATGCTCCATTCCTCTTAAGCCACAAATCTGAGGTTGGAGGGCCAGGAGTGCACAAGATGGCTTCCTCTCCTGAAGACTGTGTCAAGAAAGATGTGATTTTGCTTACTCCTTCCTTAGCAAAATCTGCCAGCTTATCAACCGGACAGGTGTCCCTTCTCTTAGCCAGCCCCTCATAATGAGATGACAGGTGGGATGGAAGGAATGGAAGACCAGCAGACACACTTCTTGGTGAGACCATTTGATCAAAATGACCAAATGTCAGGACACAGTGTCTGACTTTGCCAAGCCCCCAGCCATGCGGGAATCCCTTCTTTTCCCCCCACTAAAGAACCCTTTCTTTTCCCCCCCAACTAAAGAAAATGTTGAAAAATTTTAAAGCTCAAAATGGTGAACTCTTACTTCAAAGCAAATGACAAGTTCTCCCCATAAATGAAATATTGCCAGGACCTAAGCAGATGCAATTGGGGAGTAGGGGATGGCGGGAGCTCTTGCTACCAAGCAGCTTGGTTTTTTCCTTCTCTTTCCACCTTGTCTGCAAATCTCTGTCTAATTCTCTCCACTCTGCTTCCCTCAGGCAGAGCGCGTAGACAAAGCAGCACATGTTTTGGTTGGTTTCATGTGGGACTCTCTCTTCTCTGCCCCGAGACTGTAAATACCCCAAGTCTGAAAAGTCTGTCTGAGCTTCCCTTCATACTCCAACGATACGCAAGAGAGGGCTCTACCGGAAGTCCTCTGCATTAGCCATAGAAAGGATGGCGATCAGAGCATGATGGCACTTCCCCCACTCTGGCTGGTTTTCATAGAATTCTTCCCTTGCTCCAGATGCAGAGGCAAGCATGCCTTTCTGCTGCTCTGACCAGGAAGTTCAGAGCCATTGGCAATTCAGCCAAGTAGCCATGATGTCTAAGAAATGAACGGGTTTTTCCTTGAAGTTCATAGCTGGAAGAGTTGGTGAAAAATGTCTTCCCCAATCGTCTGATGAACAAGTGCTGAGAACACAGGAGTGGGGAATACTGAGGGCTTGGGCCTCCCAGCCCTAAGAACATAGCTATTTGCCGTGGCCGTTCCAAAGACAGATTACTGAGCCAGCTCTCTTCTTCATCGGGCAGGATGAAGAACAAGCTGTGGTACTTTGAATTTGGCACCTCAGAGACCTTTGCCGCCACCTGTAAGAAGCTCCACGACCACATAGAGTTGGAGGTAAGGCTTCCCAGAACTTGGTTCTGGTCCTGGACTGTCAGACCCCCTCAGAACATGTCTCCAGGGTCCTTAAGAAGAGCTCCCGAATGGAGTCCATTTGTTGTGTCTCCAGCCTGTTCCCAGCCCTTTCTTGGCCTGTCCAGGGAGGCCCTGGGGCTCTGGGGCTAGAGATCCATTCCTGTCCTCAGCCCTGTCCCCACCGTGGTCTTGAGATCCCCCCCCTTCAGAGAGGCAAATACATAGTTGCCGGCAGCACAGGGAGACAGGCTGCTGGAAGGGGGAGAGGCAGTGTCCCAGGGCCGGTAAAGATCTGGGAGCCCACAGGCACAGGGCACATATCTCCCAGCCCAGTCGGCCTCCACTGTCACAGCTGCTTCAAGGAGCCGACTCAGAGGTACCCAGGGTCTGCTTCATGGGCGCACAGTGGCCCAGGGGGGCCTCGAGTTAATGTTCTTCATGTCACCATCTTGAAATTCTTGGTAACTTTTTAGCAGAGGGCCCTGACTTTTCATCGCAAAGTGGGCCCCTTAAATTCCGTAGCTGCCGCTGTTGGCACACTCTTGTTTTCCTCTCTAGGCACTTGCAGCAGCCTGCCTCACACGGGCTTGCCTGAGGCTTCCCTCCCGCTCAGCCCACTCCTACTGGGCTCCCCTCAGAAGTCTCTTCACCTCTAGGAGAAGGCCTCCTTGGTCTCTGGCCACCGGAGAGCCTGTCTCTGCTAGGCAGGGCCTGGGGTCGTGAGTTCCCTCAGCTACCATGCCACCTTCCCGTGGGATTCAGGCCTGTGGCCTCTATTCACTTGAGAAAAACAAGTGAAAGAGGCGCCAACCAGTTCGGCCAGGATGGGCTCCCCCAGGGCCTACCAGCGTTGTCCTTAAGCCTGCATTAGCAGTCAGGTGGGGCCTGGGCACCCCTTGGAGGAGGAGCATTTGGCTTAAAGCGGTGTGGGAAAGCCCCACCATTCCCAGCCTAAGGCAGACTGTGCTCCCAGGGAGTTTTCACAAACAAAACACAAAGCCAGAGATTCTCTGCTTCCATTTGACTCATCTGCTTGCCTCTCCCCTCCGGTTGCCGGGTTACCAACCCCAGGGTGGGAGGAGCTGGTCAGGGCTAATCCCTGGAACTTGTGCCCAGCTCAGTCAGAGGACAGAAAGGCCCAGGTGCCAGGGCTGTGTGTCCCCAGGTGGGACCAGCTGCACCTGGGAGAGGCCAAGGAGCTAGGCCACTTCTCTCAACCCCCTGCCTGGGAGATGCAGTGAAGGACGAGGCCGGGGGCTGGGCCTGGAGACTGAGCCAGGCCGACAGAGCCCGTGTGTGTGTGCATTTTTCCTGTTGGCATGATCGTCTGGTGGGGTCTCTTTAAATACACCCCAAGTGAGGGACAGCCCTCGCCTAACCACTGCCAGCTGCAGACGCACAGCGCCTGCTTGTTCTCCCTGCAGCTGGCCTTGAAACTGTGCCCAGAATAGAGCAGCTCGGCTCCCCTGCCTGTGTGGCTCGCCCTCCCAGCTCCTCCCACCCTGCCCATGCTTCCTTCTGGGCCCAAGACACAAGGCCTCTTCCTCAACCAAAGAGGGGGCTGGTGGCCTCAGGGCCAAGGACGCTGAGGACCTCTGGAGGGGGTGGGTTTGTTCAAACTATGGGTCGTTGGTGGCTTGGGGGAGCATTTCCTGTGTTCCTTATCTACCCCAAATGAGTCTTTTTAGTATGTATTCATGCAGGGAGGGGGTGGTCATGTGCAGGCCGTTTCTAAGAGCCTGCAGGATTGGGGCGGACATGGTTTCGGCATCCAGAGAGCAGTGTGGGTATGGTCCTGGGCCTTGCGATCCAGAGGACAGAGAAGCAGATGGGGGTGAAGCATGTGGGTGACGGGCTGGGAAGCCGCAGAGCACCACGGGTAGACGGGAGAGCATCAGGAGCCTCAGGGAAAGCAGTGGGAGAGACTGGCGAGGTGGCCTGCTAAAGCAGTTGCTACACAGAGCAGCCCAGGCCTGTGAAGGCCAGTACCCTCCCCAGCTCAAGGTCAGTGACCCCAAGAATATCCCCCGCCCCACAGGCATCTCTACTGCACGTCACTGTTTTCAAAGCCCAACTCAGCTCGTTGCGTAGTCACCCAGCAGCCCTGTGAGCTTCAATGGCCAGGCGTTATTACTCCTATTTCACAGAAAAGCAAACTGAGGCACAGAAATTTAGAAGGGTAAACAGAAGGAAGAGCAAATTACAAAGGGAAGAAGAAAAAGTCAGATGCTTTGACTGCTTACCATAATGTGTCCTCATTTGACACAAGCACCCGGTGAGGCAAGTATCTTCACATTTTTTAAATAAAGACACCAAGGCTCAGATGCATGAAGTAACTTGACCAAGATTCTGTTGCTGGAAGCCAGTAAGAGAGAAGATTCTAGATCTCCTGGAATGACTTTAGCTTAGAATTCACTAAACACAGATTGACCTTGAAAGTGCAAAAAATTCACTCCGTGAATTCTTCAGCGTGGCTGCACGGCTTCCTCCTCCTCCGCTGAAGGTGAGCCCATTTGGTTCCCTCTCAGCCAAGGCGGCTAGGTGGGTCTGCTGAGAGATGCTTTAGAGGAACAGAAGACACAGTCCTCAACAGCTCCCTTGAGAAAGGAATGGGTTCACGCTGGACCACAGGAGGGTCGTGGCTGTGCCTTCAAGCTTACAAAAGGCTTTCCCATGCAGCACTCCTTTCATTTAGAACATCCAGGGCAAATATTTACATCCTCACTTTATGGTTGAGGAAGCTAAGGCCGAGAGGTTCAGCAACTTGAGAAGGAGCACACAGGTTAGGGACTGAAGGTAACACATAGTAAAGTCTATAGAGTTGCTGTGAGTGTGTGTCATGCTGGTCACAATCTGGGTGGTAAGACTTAAAGCTAACCTGAGATTACTCAGGGAGGGTCTTCATTAAAATCTCTCACAGGAAACACAGTCTATTTTTCTGAGGCTCGTGGCTTATTGAAAAGGACTAGGAGACTTGGTCGCTTCTCTGGAAGTTTATGGCCCAGCGAACAGAACACATTACAGCTGATTAATATAGTATCCTCACTTAACTAGTCCTAAGGAGATTGGATCCAGGGGTCCTAGGGAGCCATGTGAGCCAAATCATTCCAGATGCTGTTTTGAGCTGCTCAGAGACTCAGGCAAGGGAGAAGACAAGTCTAGATCTCCTGCTTACCCACAGAGACGTGGCCAGGGTGGGCACCGTTAAAGGTACCTGGCCCAGACACACAAGACCAGGAGGTGAGCCCTGTTCTGCAGTTAGGCAAGTCACTTGCCTAACTGTATCCGGGCCTCAGTATTCTCGTCTATAAAATGGGATGACAGAGGTTAACCTACTTCCCAAGGCTATTATCTGGGTTAAAGTTTTCACATTTGTTTGTTTGTTTTAAACTAGCAATGAAGCTAAGGGCTCAGAATCTGCAAGCAGCCCCACATGGCGGGCGTCACAATCACCCTTCCAGAGTAGGGGATAGAAGCCGAGAGAGAGGGCAAGGAGCTCCCTTGAAGTCTACAGCCTACGAATGGTCAGGCCAGGCAAATCCTGGATACCCCTGGATGCTGGCACACAGTTTAGATCCCAGATTCTCAACTAGACATGGGGCACATGTGATCTCCTTTTATTCACATGCTTGTATTTAACATTTCAGAGAGCATTAAAAGTAAGCATGAGATTTTTACATTTATCAAAAAGAGAGCATGAGAAACATTGCCCATGCTCGCTCTGAATGCTTCCTTCCCTGTAACACAGAGGAAGGCCTATGAAAGCTAGTGTTGTTCTGGAAAATGGATGCTCCCTAAATTATGGTTGATGCTAATTAAGAAGCCAGTATGTCACCCCCACGACTCTCATCATCCCTGGTCTAAGGCTTCTCGCACGATCTCTTGTCTCTGACTTCTCTTCCCTTCTGAAGCTACTGTTAAGGTTCATTTTAATCTGATTTCACCTGAATAAACAGATAGGGGCTGGGGTGAGGGAGGGACACAGTGAGTCACCTCCCCCACCCCAGGCCCAGAATAGCTTTGGAAAGGTTCTTAGACGTGATCATAGTTAGGCGGAGCCAACCAGGCAGGCTTCGACTAGAGCACTTTATTTTATATGCTGTGGAAATTTTTCATTTTACTGGCTAAAAATAAGAACTTCCAAAATTCCTTGATATTTTATCTACTTTAAAACAATGTTCACAAGGGAAGGCTAGCTGGCCCCACTAATAAGAATTTCTGCATGGGGAGAAGTGAATCCAAATTTGGAAGCTGCTCAAAAAAATCTGTTATCCTGTGTATTTTGGGAAGCTGCACATCACTGTCCTCCCCCCCACCCCCCGTTTAATTGAGGATTTTAAAAAATGCAACAAAATCTCAAGAACAATATATCAAATACTCCCATTTCCCCCTCACTTAGAAATGGTATTTGTCAATATTTTGCTTTATTCCCTTCAAGTATTTTTTTAATCAAAGGGAGAAAATACTACCGAGAGAACTGAGTTCCCCCACAATCCTTTTGTGCCCCGCAACTTGCCTTTTTCACTCACCACGATGTTCTGGAGATCTGTCTTTGCTGATGTGGACGGAGCTAGTGCATTCCCCACGTCCTGCGGTGGTGAGCATGCGCAGAAATGGGACCCTCTGCCGCCGCCATGGAAATTCAAGTGGCCACTGCTTTACAGAGCGGTTTAGCGGTATACGCTGAACTGAAAATGCATCTGTAGGCCATATGACCCAGTAGGTTCTTTGCAACGCAGGCCTAGAGAATTTCCTGCATGCAAGCTCACGAGAGGGTAAGCACGGAGGTGCAGTGCAGCATTTTGTTATTACAACAAAATGGAACCAACCTAGCTGTATTATTCTAACACTTTAAAAAGACAGTGTGAGCGGAAGTACTAAATGCCACTGAATTACACACTTTAAAATGGTTACTTCTGTGTTATGCGAATTTCATCTAAATTTTTAGAAATTTACTTTTACAAAAGGGAGTGTGCTGGGCG